CAAACTTGCTGAGGGTGCGCTCAACTCCATGGTCGATGTCAGTGACAAAGATGTTAAACAGCACAGGTCCCAACACCGACCCCTGAGGAACGCCACTCGTCACCGATCTCCACTCAGACATCGAGCCGTTGACCACCACTCTCTGAGTGCGGCCATCCAGCCAGTTCTTTATCCACCGAGCAGTCCGTCTGTCAAATCCATGTCTCTCCAGTTTTGAGACAAGGATGTCATGCGGGACAGTGTCAAAGGCTTTGCACAAGTCCAGGTAGATGACATTGGTTACCTGTCCTCTATCCACCAGGGTCATGAGCCCCATATTCATCAGGCACAATCTGCTCTTGTTGAAGCCTTGTTGGCTCTCGCCAATCACCTCTTCATTCTCCATGTGCACTTGCATGGTTTCCAGGAGGATCTGCTCCATGATCTTTTCACTATAGTCAGAGCCTTTTTATTTTGACACCCATGCTGACACACACAAACTCACATAGCAAAGGAGTGGTTTGTTTGGAATTCAGCCAGGCATTTATTTATCTGTAGTCATGTTCATCTAGATTGTAAAATGTCTTGGAAACATGGATTTTGGACCATGGTCATGGGTGCTGACAAAAGCAATGATGAGGAAGCAGAAATTCTTCCACTGGCAGTGGTGAAGGAATATAGAAAGACTTTGGGTATATCACTGAACCTTAGTATTTCCATCTGTAATGTGCAGAATAATGACTCCTACTATTTTCATGAAGTGCTTTGAGATTTATTGAAGTTCTTATTGCTTTGTGTGATTGTTGTGGTGAATGTCATTTTAAGGACCATGATAGAAAACACATGTAATAAACTTCTGTTACTTGTTTTTCATCAGTTTATGCACCCCTGCCACACGTAAACATACAAATACACTGGTTTTACTCACTGAAGTAGTATTTTTACAAAATTATTATCCATGGTTCCTGGTGCAGGAGGACATGCAAGCCAATAGAAACAATTGTCTGTGCTGGATATATTTACAAAGAGATGCTACCATGTGGGAACTTATGTTGATGAGAGTTAAAAAACTTAATTTTTAATACTTAACTACTGAAGTCCACCCACCTGAGTCCTTGTCAATCTGACAAACCTGGATGGGGCAGGAATAATTTAGATCAATTCTTTTATCATACCTCTTGTGCCAAAGCCTAGCCTTTATGCACAACACTGGCTTTTCTTTAAATATTCCCTTCATCAGAAAGAGTAAATGCAAAATATGGTACATGTGGGGAAAGGAGTGCCAGGAAGCTTTATTTCTCTTTTCTCTTAATCTCTAGTGATATTATACATAGTTATCTGGTACCCTCAATTGTGCCTCACCTACTACGGAAGGAAAAAAAAAAAAATTACTGTAATAAATCTCATGACCTCTAGTCAAGGAAAACCGAAATTCTCAGATATCCATAACAAGCTGAGCATTTGCAGCAGCAGAAATTACAAGTGCTGCACACTGAACTAAAGTCTCTGGCACTTTAAAGTGCACATTTTCCAGCTTTGCCCTTTCCATAGTATTCCATGGGGGCCACCCATCGCAACTGCTGATAAGGTCGTGTGCAGGGTGGGTGATGAATCTGCACTGATTTCAGAAGGTTTTTCTGTCTGGTTGCAAAAAATAGATATGCATGCCTCCATGAGAGGAATCCTTAAAGGGAGACTGTGTAGAAGTATGTGCATTTTCTAGTGGAAAACAGAAAAAAAGGGGATAAAACACAAAAAGACATAATAAATACTAGTAATAAGTAAATATTTTACCTAGCAGGCAGTAGATTTTTTTTTTTTCTTATTTGAAGTATGTTTAAACCGTCACTGGATAGTCTCTGTACCAGTGACTTACATGTATGTAACCTTTTTGTACAATAATTTGAGAATTAGCTTTTGCTCTTTTTTCTCCCCTTGGCCCTCCAAAACCCCAAGCATCCTTCTGAACTCTGAGTGTGACATTTGGATTCAGGCAGAGACCTCCAACAGTTCACGGTTTTGCATCTGGTTTCTTGTTTTGAGATTGTGACGCAGCATACACAACAACAGAGAAATTTAAACCAGAAAAGATCAAATCAATACGTTCTTCTATATTTAAAACAGAAAAACTAACAAAAAAAAAAAAACCCACACAAAACCAACCAACCAACCAAACAAAATCCCCAACAAAATTAAAAAAAAGGAAGAAGAAAAACAGCCTAAAACTGACTCCAGGGTTTCTCATGTCTTCAGATCCAGGATATTTTAATTTCATGCTCCTTTACAGATGTTTGTGAGACTTAGATCCAGATTGGTTATCGAACTCGATGCATCCTCTTTAAGTTTAGGGCCAAATCTCATCTATTTAGTGAGGACAGAATTATTCTGGGGCAATATTTCACATACATTTCCTGTCAAAAGTCCATGCTGAGCCAGCTCAGAGGAATGGCAATAGGAATCACAGAGTGTTCTCCTGTGCCACATTGGTAGCCTGAGTGTGTTGAGCCGATGGCATTTGGCTTCACTCACAGAACCATGTGTGGTACAACGCTGCCCATCCTTGTCACTGTGGGAGCCACCTCTCACTGGGCTTGTAGAGATAGAAACACCCTTCCTAGTAAATCGACTCTGTTGTACCAATGGGACATGCTGCTTTAGAGCAGCAGGGAATACAGCAAGGGAAATGAATTGTTAAAAAATGTGAAATATTCTTTTTGGTGCCAAGGATAAGGAGGAATTCTTGGGATGAATCCAGAACTGAGGTATGTCTAGGAATTGAAATGATTTCAGGGGAAGGGAGAAGAGACTCTGAACAATGAGATTTATTACACTGGGATATAGCCTCCTAAGAGGAAGGGGTTGAAGACAAAATGCTGGAATTAACATAAGATTGGACAAAACACTGGAGGATATGGAGAGGATATTTAGTCACAGATTTTTAAGGCCAGAAAGAGCCATTGTGATCACTTAGTCAAACCTCCTGCATGACTCATACCAAGGGATTTACCTAAATGTATTCCTGTTACAAGTCCAATGGCTGTCGTACACTAATGCATATCGGTTAGACAAACATCCAGCCTTGATTTAAAAGAAACTTCCGGTAACAGAAAATCCATTGTTAGGATAAGCCTTTCTCATGATTATTTATATTCTCTACTAAAAGTGTGGGTCATATTTCTCATGTCAGTTTTTCTAGCTTCAACTTCAAATCCTGTATATCTGCTAAACCGAAGGACCTTCTGTGACCCTCTTGTCCCCATGTATTTTTTGTCCCTTTGATGTGTATCTCAGATTCTTATAACACCATGTTCACCTGTGCTTTAGCTTGTCTCCCTCTCACTCCTCAAGTAGCTCTTAAAAACACTTATCTTGTGCTGACCCTCCCAATGCTAGTCCTTCAGAATAAGTTACATTTTGATAAGACAGAGTCATAGCTTTGCTCCCTTAGCATGGACAAATGCACTTTGATGTCTGAAATGTGTGCTGCCGCTTCTGATTTACCCTGTGTGCCAAGCTTCCTGGGTAAGAGGACTGCATCTTCAGTGTCAGTGTCAGTATTTTTATAGAGTTACTCAACTCGAGCACAGTCAGCACTTAAGAGGAAGTAATAACAGTGCTGGGAATGGTTTTGCTTCATCAACATGTGTACAGCAAAGAAATGTACTTAGGTGAGTTACTAGAACAAGGGCAATTAAAAGGGCAATGCCCTGAAGCTCTGGGGGTACCACACCACCGTTCTGTCTGGTCTCAATGGCTCCACTCCTAAGGGGAGTGTGTGCATTAAAATCACTGAATTTCTGCACAGGTTCAAGAATCTAAGGGTTTCACCATAACAGATCTTCAGCACAGGATAAGGCAAATTCTGACCAAGGAGAGCTATAAGCTTTGTTGTTCTGGATGTTAATCCCAGACCTGAATTTATATAAAAAAGGCTTTCCACCTGCCTATTGAACCTCATGGGTGAAAAGCTGGAGACCCAATAAGCTGAATTTTACCCCTGATTTCTTAGGTGAGAAACTAGAGAAGTTTGGGAGGTCATTTAAACACAAAGCTGTGCTCGGGGTGCTTTGCAGTCGTCTTCTCTAGAGAACTATTCCCTGACCTCTATTTTTCTGGTTTATGCTGCTGTTGATTTATGTATGTAGAAGCCAAACTTCAACTTGATCAGGGTCTTTAAGTAATGCTGCTGTACCTTAATAAAACTGTAGTTAGCCTGCTGCTGTTGTGAAAATGGTTGAATAAGCCTTGAAAGTATAAAATCAAAGGACAATTAAATCTTGGGTTCAGCTCCCAAATGGATTTCCGCTAGAAATTCACACTTAATAAAATACAGAAAATTGCATTTTATTTTGGTACATAAATACTGGTGGTGGGGGACCGTGGCATTTAGAAGAGAGAATCGTTCCACCAGAAAACTCACTTCAGCAAAATGATGCAGTCCAGTTGAGCCCCTTTTATGATCTGAGAAATTACTGTTTTTATAGCACACTAAATAAAACCTGCTATTTGAGCTGGAGGTTTATTAGTAAAGGTGATTTTGCCATAGCTGGGGAGGGAGGGAAGGAGGAGAGATGAGGGATAAACATCGAAGCAGAAATATGAGTCATTCAGAAAAAGCACAGTGATGCCCCAAAACCGTGGTGTCAGCCATCATCACCTCACCTAGCACTGAAACAGAAATATTTCATGTCAATATTTTGTTGTTGTTGTTGCTTCAAAATGTTATTACTAGCCTGGTTCAATTTCCCCCAGTGGGAAAGCACTTGCTATGGGTGCAGCAGGGAACCTGTGAAAGCATCTGGGCATAACGAGCATCTCCAGGCAGCCGAATCTAGGGAATGGTAAAATTGGTCCTTACAAGAGAGCTCTCAGGTTTAGCCAAAGCAGCTTGTCATGTTGCTGTGCCCAAACTCACCACAGTTACAGTCTTGAAAGAGGACTTTCAGGTGGACACAAGCACCCTCATAGCACATGTCCATGCCCAAGACATCCTGGTGCAGTCCTGCATGTCTTTCTTCAAACCTTCCTTCCTTAGGGGTGTAAAATAAATCACCTCACTCAGAACAAGGTGGATGGCTTTGTCATAGGGGTATTAGCTCCTGTCCAGTCATATACCATGTTTTTGATGATGAAGGGGGCTTCCAAGACTGTTGGAAGGGGACTTTTACAATGGCAGGGAGTGACAGG